CAATGGAGGTGAAGCTGAAGGATGACAGTGTCTGTGAAGAGTCCCACTTCAGCTCATCGACCTGCTTCTCTTTGAGCCTTGGCCTAAGAGTAGATAGAGAGCCAGTCAGCAGCCAGACCGGGTGACCAGATTCACTCTCGGCTCTCTCCGGTCATTGACATTCAGCAAATATTTGTTGAACCAAGTGAATTTCTGAAGGGCCATCTCTGACAGAAGACCAGAACCCAGCCTGCTGCCCCAGATTCCAACTCCTGCTTTTCCCTCTGGGCCTGAACCAATGGGATTGCTTGACTATTCATGGGGGCGGGGCGGGGGTAGGAAAAATGTACAGAGAAGCACATTGGTCCTCAGCCCAGGGAGCCATGTCATGAAGAAAGAAAGCTGGGGATGGGAGTGAAACTCTGAGGGTCCTTTCTCTGCCCTTGTCTATCAGCAGCACAGTTGGACATCAGGCATCAAGGGTTCACTGAACTGAGAGCAGATGGTCTGCTTCTGAGCTCTGCCACAGTATCTCAGCCCCAGACTCACACAGAAGAATATCTCAGGTTTGAAAGATTCCATGCTCAGGCCACCCACCTTCTGAGCAACGGAGTTCAGAGGTCAGAGGTCAGGGTGACAGCTATAAAACAACACAAGTGAGTCTGTTGCCTGTGTAGCTGAAAAATTGCCTGGTTGGCCCAATTTTTCTTCTCCTTTTGCCTCCTAATGCTTGCATCCTGATGATCCCAGAAATTTAATCTTAACAATCACAGCTAATAATTAGTGAGGGCCTATGCATCTGGCAATGGCCTTCACCAAAGCCACAGGCTGCTGGGGAAGACAGACTAGGAAACAAGTAGTTATGATGCATGGCATGGGAGTGTCTGGGAACAGCCCCCACCTCAGACCCTGGGGGTCAGCAGGAAAGGAAAGAGGTCTCTGGAGACATGGAGTCTGAATGGAGGGTGGATGGACAGACGGAAGAGTGGGAGGGAGCCTGGGGAGACATGAGGGGGGAGGGGGAGGGAGGGAGGCCTTAGAGAGAAGAAAGTAAGCAGTCCTTGCACAAGGAAGGGGAAATGAGTGCAGAGACCCACCCTAACCAAACAGCTGTTTGCAACTGACCCTGTCAGGAAAGGGAAAATCCGTTCTCTCCAGTGGAGTGTCACTGTGTGTATCAACCACTCCAGGGCAGGCCACTCGTCCAGGAGCCACTGGCCAGCACAAACATGGACTCCATACTTCTGTGCACTTTTTGTTTTGATTTTGGTGGTTTTTGTCTTCTTGGCCTATTTGTTTTGTTTTGCTTTCCTGTTGTTGTTTGAGAGAGAGAGAGAGAGAGAGAGAGAGAGAGAGAGAGAGAGAGAGAGAGAACATGAAGTTGGGTGGGTAGGGAAGTAGGGAGGATCTGGGAAGATTTGGGAGAAGGGAAAGAATATGGTCAAAATATATTGTTCGAAAAAAAATAAAAGCAAAGCAAACAAGAAATAGTTGGATTTGTGGAAGGGGTGAAAAAGGTTAAGGCTACCTTCCACAGGAGGAGGGGGATTCACACGAGAGACCCTCATGATGGAAGAGGGGAGGGCTAGACGCAGGGTTTGTAATCCACGTTAAGGAGGCCAGTCTTGATCTGAACACGTAGAAGCATCCAGGGATAGATCTGCAAGATGGGTGAGTAGAGACTGATTTGAGTCACTCCGTAAGTTCTTCTAGTCGGGACTCCAGGAGATGAGGGACACCCGAGCTTGTGGACAGTGGAAGGACGTAGATGCTTCAAGAGACACAGAGGAAGTGGTGTGCACAGGACTTAGTGATTCATAGGCTAAGAAGTAGAGCAGGGGTGTCCATCACTGTGGCATGTCCTCTGTGTTAGTCAGGCTGATGACTGTTATGACAAATACCTGAGAGACAGCTTAAAGGGAGGATTCATGCTGGCCCAGAGTTGGAGAGATTTAAGTCTGTTGCTGTGGGTCTGTGACGAGGCAGACCATCATGGCGGTTTGAGAGGAAGCTTGGCAGGCAGGAGAAAGAATGTCAGAATGTACTGGGGACGGGGTATGTCTTTCTGCAGTGTGCTCACAGTGACCTTCTTCCATTACCACACCCTAACAGTCCACTGAAGTTTTGAATCCATCACTGAAGGCCAAATCCAATCCAAAGTGTTACCCCTGAACTAAGCTTCAAAACATGAGCCTTTTCAAGGAGTGTTTCATATTCAAGCCACAACACACACTCCCAAATTCACAAATTGGAATTCTAATCTGCAGTACCCCAAATACCACTGTATTTGTGCTTAAAAGAGACAGTTCAGTTAAAACGAGGCTGCTATTGGGCTCTAACCCAGCCCAGCTGGCATTCTTACAGGCAGAAGCTTGGGTGCAGAGAGACGTGACGCATATTCATGTGCAGAGAGAACACCACGAGGAAGCAACAAAGACGAGGCTGAGGTTGGAGGACTTAGGAGAAACCCACTTGCTAATGCCTGGACCTGGGACTTCCAGTCTCCCAAAGACGATGACACACACTTCTGTTGTTTAATCCAGCCAGTCTGTGGTCTCATCAAGGCTACATTACCAGGCCTAGTCCCTGCATGGTGCTTGAGTGTCTGTTTGCACAGCCAGGTGGGTGGGGGCCAGGTATTACGTCATGAAAATGTGCTAGAGGAGGAAGGAGATGGGCAGAGTTGGAAACCTGTGGAGTTTGAGAGGTTTGCCACTACAAGGGCTATAGCTGTGTCCCACCTGACAGGAGCGGGCAGGGACGAGTGGGAATGAGAGGCCATGGTCTCCGTCCTCCCTGAAGCACTGTGTGGCCTTGGACCTGCCCTGTACCTTCTCAAAGTCCCTCTGGAACACAGGGCTGGCCTTCCAGGTCCCAGGGGCAGTTTACTTCAGAGACTGAGCCTACCAGGGTGCTCTTGGGACTGTGCCTCAGTGCCTAGGGGAAGACATTGTTGTTCTTGGGCCTCCCATCCAGGATGTTAACCAGGAAGGGGGCCTGGTCCGCAGGGTGTTCATGAAGTGCAAACAACTTAGAGTTGGCAGTAATGCCCTGCTCCTCCTGAAGGGCCTCCCTCTGAGAGGCAGGTTCCAACAGGGCCCTGAGCAACCTCACTTCAGACCCAAGAGGTTCTGAGAGCCCAGTGCCAGGGCCCAGGGAAGGCTGGAACACCCCAGGAACACCGGCTCCTGGTCCTGGTTGGGCCTTCTCCTTCCCACACCCACCCCATCTTTCTTTCTTACATGCCCCAGAGACAAGAATACCAGATTTAAGAGGAAAACAAGCTGGATGGTAGTAGCTCACACCTATAATCCCAGCACTAGAGAGACATAAACAGGTGGATCTCTGTGAGTTCTAGGCCAGCCTGGTCTACAAAGGGAGTTCCAGGACAGCCAGTGCTGTTACACAGAGAAACCTTGTCTCAAAAAAAAAAAAAAAAAAAAAAAAAAATCCCATACTCCTTTCATTTTTAAGTGGGAAAAAAAAAAAAAAAAAAAAAAAAAAGGAAAACAAATAAATAGTTGGATTTGAATATTTAGGGCATACTTATAATTATTCAGTATTTGTCTGAAATCCAAATGTATCAGGGAATTCTGTACTTTGTCTGGCAACCTTACCTGGAAGAGACCCCAGGATCCAGCCAGCTATCCTAAAGGAAGACAGAGATGTTTTCTCCGCCCCACGCTGCTTTGCTTGCTCCTCCAACCAGAGGCTGAGGAGAACCTGCCATTGCCCAATTCCCCGGCAAGCTGTAGCCTCGTCAGACATTGGTGCTGGCATTGGAGCCATAGGATCTTTGGAAGAGTGTTGCATCTAATTAATCTAATAAGTAGGTTGTAAGCTCTGACCGGAAGTGGCAGAGGATTCGCCCTGACAGATGGGCAGGAGCAGGCCACACCTGCTTCAGGCACCTGCCAACAAGCCGCTGGCTGCAGCCTGTGGGAGAGTTAATAGGGTGCTTTGGCTCCACATCAGATACGTGACAAACAGAAGTCACACCAGCATCATATTAACAGTGTCATAGCTGCTGTTTATGGAGCCCTTGCTGTACACCAAGCACTGAGCAAGCATTATCTCATTTAACCCCTGTAACAATTCCAGCTGGCAGAAGCTACTATTATCCCCATTTAACATATGACAAAACTGAGGCCTAGAAGGTTGAACAGGCTGCCTAAGGTCACACAGCCAGAGTAGGATAGAGATGAGGATTCAAACTCAGTCATTCAAACTCTGGAATCTGTGCTTTCTGCTGGAAACTCTTGGTTCCTTCCTCTCACCCCAAACCATTTCATGTTGGTGAATGGCATATATTCAAGAGACAGAAGGACACACCATGTATCCCATGAACTTTATCAAGTGTTTTCTGTATGTGGCCCAAGCCTTGATCTTAGAGATATTATGGCCTGGGGAGAAAAATTGATCTCAATAAATTATTGTTAAAGAAGTACAACAGAGGACTGATGATGTAACTCAGTGACAGGACTCTTAACTGCATGTCCAAGGCTCTGGGTTACATCCCCAACAAATCCCTCTCCTCTGTCCCGAAGCATGGTGACAGCTGTGGCATGATATTGCGATTGAGACAATGGAACTTGGCAATCAAACGCCTGGTTCCCGAGCCTCCCTGTAGTAGGTGTTAGATTCGAGGTCCATTACATTGTTTCTTCATGCCTCTGTGTTTCAAAGTGAGACTATTACCCATTTCATAATGTTGTTAGAATTAAATGACTAATGCTTCAAAAGCACAGTAGCAAGATTGTTCAGCAGGTAAAGGCACTGTAAACCTGACGGCCTGAGTAGGATCACTGGAACCCATGCAAAGACAGAAAGAGAAAACTGCTCTGTAAGACTATCCTATGACTTCTGTAATCAAGTGGAGGAACATGTAAACCTCCCATCACACACACACACACACACACACACACACACACACACACACACACACACACAGAGTCTTAAAACACTTGAAAAGCATACATAGTAAACATTTTATTTAACAAATACTTAGCAACTGCCAGGGATGCACCAATCACTGATCAGGCTACTGAGATGATTTTGGTTTTAAAAATTGACAAAAATACCTGCCCTTGTATGATTTGTGCTGTGGCTTATAGTCTAATGATAGCAATTATTTTAAGGAAACTATTATTACATAAGTAATGCTAGCTGTTAGTGTTTTAGAATTACAGTTGGCCAGCCTGATCAACAGAGTAAAATAAATAAATAAATAAATAAATAAATAAATAAATAAATAAATAAATAAATAGTGTGATTGAAAATGATCAATCATCACTTACTAAATCATCTTCTTGACCTAAAGGGACACAAAGCAGGGAGTGTTTCACTTGGAATTGACCCACAGATATTTCCTGTAGTTTCAGAGATGAGTGACTTTCTTTAAATTCACACTGGGTTTGGGGATGGCTTTTGATGATCATGACAGCCTTGGGATGACAGCATGACTGTAGTCTGGGTCATCTATAGACCCTGTGAGAAGATGTCATTTTTGGAGATTACTCTAAAAATCTGGTCCATGAAAAAACCTGGCTTTTTCAGAGTCACCAGCTGAAGTTCCTAAGAGCAAAGTAGAGTACAGATCTGACCCTGGGGCAGGGAAGGAAGGAAAACCAGCCAGCCGTGGACCCATAACATCTCAAGGTCCTTCTAGGAACTCCCACCCAGCCTTAGCCTCCTGGTGCTGCTCCAAGCCATGGGGCACACTAGTTCTAGAGAGAATAACTTTTGCTGTTTCAGATTAGTGTTTGGAGGTAGGCTCTCATGTAGCCCAGGCTGACCCCAAATGTTAGCTGAGGGTGACTCTGAACTCTTGATCCTTCTGCCTTTACCTTTCAGGTATTAGGACTGTGGGTGTGAACCACCATGCCACTGTACTGTACCACTGTGCTGGGACTCAAAGCAGGCTGTCATGCATCCTAGGAAAGCGTTCTACCAACTGCTGCACCCAGAACCCTGACTTTTCATTGGTCATTTGCGATGCTGCCTACCCGCTCCAGGGAATGGGGAGAGACTTGAAAGTCCCATGAGAAAGATGGGGCTGTTGTGATATTGAAGGAGATAAAGAAAATGGGGCAAGAATCATCCCAGGAAGCCTGGAAGATACAAGAGCAGTTGCTGGCCCCTAATATTCTCATTGTCCAGTGGAAAAACGGTACTGGCTGAATATAAGCTGAAGCATGTGTCTAGCAGGGCCACCCTCCCACAATGTGTTCAAATTTAGGGTCTCCTGGTCCTGACTTCAGGGTGTTTAGTTTTAGTCACTGGGATCCAGGAAGTCTCCTGGGGATTGTTTATATCCAGGAACACACATTTAACCTTTCAATGTCCTTGGGTCAGGGTATGGGATAAATTCTAGTTCAGCCCCACAAAAGTCATCTACCTTGACTCTTTAATGCCTGCATATCTCTCTCTATCTTGGTAGGCATGTCTATGTGTGTGTCTGCTGTATATGAGTCACATATCTTCACATATATGAATGTGGCTTGTGTCTATAGGGGTAGGCATGGGGGGCATTTGATGGAACAAGTCAGAAAAAATCGATTATCTGGGGTGACCTCTCAGTAGGCCTCTTAGAGAGGGTGGCCTCTTGGAGAGGGCTCTCTTTGCTCTGTGAACCCCTGCTTCACAGTCTGATGGGCAGGCTATACTAGCTGGTCTTGGGGACTCTGAGAGAGCTGGTTTCTTAATGTCTTGGCCTGGAGTCTAGAGAGGATCTGGGACTCAGGGAGCCTCAGCAGGAGGCAACTCATGACTAACTAATTGATCCCTTGGCACCACTCTGAGGCACCATCACCTTGGCACTGTGGTGACTGTTCCCTGCCATGCCCTCTCAGCTTATGTTGCAATGTGTACAGGAGTGCTCTGTCAACTCTAGAGGCCACGCTGTCCACCAGCAGCCAGGCCAATGGAGCAGTATGCAGTAGTCCGCCTGCCTACCAGCTGCAGTGGTCCTGTCTGTTGGAGCCAGCCTGAGACTCCCTGATCTAGTGGTGAGAAATGGCTGTTTTCTAAGAACATGCCTGGGATGCCCGCAAACTGCAAGGGGGCCCCCTGAGTCTATTTTTCTAAGCAAGGTCTGCAAAAGCAAGACAGACAGTCCACGCCACCCCTCTTCCCTGCTCAGGTTTCCTCTGCCTTCATCTCTCCCTTTCATTTCCCACTGGAAAACCCCTGGTGCAATGTGGCTGCTAGACCTTTCTGTGATGACGGACACACTCAGTCTGCCTGTGTGCTAGCCACCAGCCACATACAGCAAGTGCATACATGAAATGTGACTGAGGTGACTCTAGAACTGGATTCTAAATTGAGTTTGGTTTCTCCAGGTACCACTGAAGAGACCATCAATGATGTCATCATAGAGAGGCACTTATTTGACATTCGGCTGGTGACAAAACCTGTTTGTGTCCATGGGTCCCTGGAACTTCTTAGCAGCTCTTCCAAAGGACAGGGCAGGACAGAACCCACTGCACAGCACACAGGCAGGTCCTCCAAGGCCTCCCAGACAGCAGGAGGAGGAGCTGAGACTGCAGCCCAGGTCTCGAAACTCCGAAGTTGGCCTTGACACACCATCCTTTTCTCAGTCCTGCAGCCTGAGAGCTCGGCAAAAAGCAATGGCTGAAGCTTGGATTTTAGGTCCACACTTGACCTGTGGGAAGGTTTTAGAGGTGAGTGGTGTAATCATTCATTGGAGCCCGAAGTTGCTCACTCTGTTTGCTGTGGGATGGTCTGTATGTCAAATTGCTCTGATTGGTCAATAAATAAAACACTGGCCAGTAGCCAGACAGGAAGTATAGGCGGGACTAACAGAGAGGAGAATTAAGGAGACAGGGAGGCAGAGAGAGACACTGCCAGCCACCACCATGACAAGCAGCATGTGAAGACGCCGGTAAGCCACGTGCCACGTGGCAAGGTATAGATTCACGTAAATGGATTTATTTAAGCTATAAGAACAGTTAGCAAGAAGCCTGCCACGGCCATACAGTTTGAAAGCAATATAAGTCTCTATGTTTACTTGGTTGGGTCTGAGTGGCTGTGGGACTGGCGGGTGACAGAGATTTGTCCTTACTGTGGGCAAGGCAGGAAAACTCTAACTACATCTGTTTGTAGGTAAGAAAAGGACAATATGTTGACATGTGCCGACACATATATACTAGGCAGTGTGTTTGTTTTTGCACAAATGGGTTTTTATTCACCTTCATAGGGTTGGGTGATTCCTCCTCAGTTTGTTTTCTGAGACTGTATATATATTGAGAGAGAGAGAGAGAGAGAGAGAGAGAGAGAGAGAGAGAGAGAGAGAGAGAGGTTTTGAACTCACTATGTAGCCCAAGCTGCCTCAAACTTGAAATCCTCCTGCATCAGCTTCCAAAGTGCTGGGGTCACAGGGCTTTACCACTCTGCCCAGCATGTAATTCTCCTTTTAGAGATAAGGAAATAAAAGGCTCAGAGAAGTGGCTTGAGTGTCCAAACCCACACAGCAAACACGTGGTAGAACTAGGGTTTGAACCAGGCGCTTCGGCTATGAGGTTCTCTACCTCCAAGTGGCTTGGGATGAGAAGGAGGCAGCTACAGCACCTGCCAGACTCTAGTGGAAGCCGTACAGCAGCAGAGAGGACTCAGGTTCCTCAGCCTTGGCTCCAGGGAACCCGATACTAGGTCTCTGGAAATAGACATGTGTGGTTATTAATGGTGGCCGAGGGGCTGTGGGATGACTCAGTATGGAAAGGTGCTTGCCACATTCACTTGGTGATCTTAGTTCAATCCCTGGACCCATATAAAAGTGGAAGGAGAGAATCTACTCTACAAAGTTGTCCTCTAATGTCTACAGACACACTCTGACACATGCTCCCTTCCCTCATTATGCATAACACATACAGACATTTTTTTTTTTAAACAGGACTGTAGGCAGAGTTTTCTGTCCCATAGCAGCTCTCAAATAAACACACTGAGGCTTATATTAATTACAAATGCTTGGCCAGTAGCTCAGGCTTATTATTAACTAACTCTTACATTTTAAGTTAACCCATATTCCTTATTTATGCTCTGCCATGTGGCGGTACCTTTATTAGCATGGCACATTCATCTCCTGCTTCCTCTGCATTGAGCTGCATTTCCCTCCACTGACTCTGCCCTTCCTCATCCCATCATTCTCAGTTTGGCTTTCCCACCTAATTTTATCCTGCTCAGCTATTGGCCAGTCATCTTGTTTATTGAACCAATCATAGCTACATCTATTCACACAGTGTACAGAAGGATTATTCCACAGCATAGGACTGGACAGAGAAGAGTGATGAGATTGGGAAGGGTGAGTGAGAGGCACCACCCAGGAAGGTTTACTTGACAAAGAGAACAGCATTCTGTGGTGATATTTCCTTTGTGCACCCCAATAAAGTTTATCTGAGGATCAGAGGAAAAAGCCAGCCATTGTAATAAACATAGAGGTCAGGCAGTGGTAGCACACGCCTTTAATCCTATCACTCGGGAGGCAGAGATCCATCTGGATCTCTCTGAGTTCAAGGCCACACTGGGAACAGAGCCAGGCATGGTGGCACATGCCTTAAATTCCAACACTAGTTAACCATAAAGGTCTGGAGGTCTGTATAGAGAGACAGGAAGTGATGTAGCTGGGTGGAGAGAGGAAATGAGATGGCAGAACAGAAAGGCATATAGGTGTGGGTCTCTTTGGAGACTGAGGTGTCAAATGAGGTGAGGTTGTCTGTGGCTTGTCCTATTTCTCTGATGTCTCAGATAAACTTTATTAGGGGGCACAATATATTGAGAGACACAATACATCACCACAGCATTCTGGACTGGGCTTCCTTCTGTGGATGCTTTCATTTACTGAGTATCACTAAGGCCATTTCCCCTGTTTCAGTATCAACTGCTTCATTAAAACACCCCAAAACTTTGTGGCTTCAAGCAAGTATGTGTCCACGATTCTGCCACCTGCACAGTGAGCTCACTTCTGCTTCCTGTGCTGTTACCTGGGTGGTCTTCCTGCTTCCTTTTTCTGGGACCCTCAAGTGGCTGCATGTGGCTGGCTGGAGGGCCAGCTCAGGCCAGAGCTCCGCTGGAACATGGCATGGATAGGCTTCTGTTCCCTTCCGTCAAGGCCACCTGCTCTGCATATGACTTTTTCCAGCAGAGAGACTGGATGGCTAACCCAGAAGCTCCAGGCTTGGCAAGGACAGTGTAAGGCCTTCACAGTGAGACCTGAACAGAGAGAGCAGCAGTGTGAATCTCAGGTTGCTTGGAAGGACACAGCCTCTCTGAACTGGTTCCCAGGCACGGCCCGGGCCTCTGTGTCCCAGTCCCTCACCCAGAATTCTAGCTTGATGTGCCACAGAGCCCTGAGGACACGTATGGTTTAGGGAGGCCCATCCCCACCCCACCCCCAGGGTAGGCCGGCCATCCCTTCTGTTGCTCATGGCAACCTGGCTTACCTCTCTGAACCTCACTTGTCCTTATCGGCTAAGTGAGAGTGAAGTTGGAACAGCCGAGTAGATGGTTACCTGTAAGGTCCAGCATTGTAGCTGACGCTCTCCACCGTGCATCCCAGGCCACCTCTGCTGTCTCCGCTGCACCAGTCTGCTCCAGCCAAGGTCTGATTCCTTGCTCTGACTTCTTCATAGGGCAGGGCATAGCTCTGCTGGCAATAACCGGGCTACCGTCTGGACCCAGAAGATGCTGAAGACCTTTGCTATGACCCCATGCCCAAATGCTGGGGTCACACGGGTGTTAAAATCGGAGACCAGTGACAAAAAGGGAGGGTAACTGGGCCCATTTATCATCAGGGACCTCTCTAAGCCAGGGACAGATGGAGTCAGTCTTAGAGTCTGGACTGCTGAGGGTTGGGTGTGACCCTGTCATCTCCCGTCAGGGGACTCGATACTCTCCTTTCTGTAGCTGGAAAACTGCAAGTGTCACTCTGAGGGACAGCTATTGGCAGGCCATTCCGTGACATCTATTTAGAGCTGGCAGCCCCTCCCCCACACGTAGGGGTGAGGGCAATGCTCCAAGAACCAGAGCTGATGTGAGGCCAGCCCCTTTCAGGTCCCCATCACTGAGCCCTGAAAATGATGACTTTCACAGTGAGAAAGGCTGAGGCCAGAAGGAGGTAAAGAAGCCAACTGCTGAGTCTCAGCTGGTCTGAGGCAGCAGGCAGCCCCAGAAAGTGGGTTCTTCCTACATTTCAGTCATGACAGGACAAAAAAGCATAAAGCTACATTATCAACGCAGAGAGAACCACTCTGGAAGAGCCTTTTAAGAATAGGAAGTACCTCATACATTTATAATGTTGATAAATGCATTAAGTATTTTCTGGAGGGCACTGTATAGGAAACCGCTAACAGCAGGAACTGGGAGGAGAGGCATGGGAGTGGATGGAAGCAGCGAGAAAAGTTTACCTCCCATCCTGTTCTCTCCAGACCACTTGAATTGTTCTCCAGATGCATTTGGAAAACGAAAATGGGGGCTTATCTGATGGTAGGAGGATCATTCTCATTCTCCACACATCTGGCTCTTTCACTGACCTGCTACTCAACCGTTTGACTAGGCTGGGATAGCAGTCATCGGGGACCACATCCGGCTTCTGTGTGGGCGCTGGAGATCCAAACTCAGGTCCTTATGCTTGAGTGGTAAGAAATTTGTCAACCAAGCCAAATCCCCAGACCTAAAAGAATTACATTTAAAAACAAACAAACAAACCAAAAACCCCCTGAAGGGGCCAAGGAGATAGTTCAATCAGTGAGGTGCTTGCCACACAGTTTGGGGACCTGAGTTCAATCCCCAGGATCCATGTAAAAGATGTGTGGTGGTCTGTAATCCCAGTACAGTTTCGGGGAGGTAAGTCAGGAGAAGCTCTGGAATTCTCTGGCCAACCAAGCCTACTCTAACCAGCAAGCACCAGGTCCTAGTGAGATCCTGCCTCAAAACACGGGGTAGATGGTTGCCTGAGGAATGATGTGTGAGGCTGACTTCTGACCACCCACCCATGCACGTGCATGCACCAGCACCTACAAACACACCCACTACATGAACGTGCACCCACATGTACACACACACACACACACACACACACACACACACACACACACACACACACACTACTGTCGGCTAATCCCAATAACTTTTCAGAAATACGTTTATTTATGTAGTTAAGAAATCTTCCTGGGAAGCCGAGCCCCAGCAAGAGCTGCATGACTGGAGGTCGGAGACACTCTGATACCTATATTGAGACACTGCTATCAGTGATTTAAAGAGAAAATCGAAAACCTGTGTTGGCGTGGTTTCCGGAAGGGAGTATCTAATTTGGCTTTGAGCTCTGTGCCTTATACGGAGAGCTGACCACACTAAATGCTCACAACGGTTCCTGTGCTAATGGATATTAGGTTTGGCTCTCGTGGATCCTGAAGCAGGTGCCTGTCAACACTCAGCAACAGAAACCAGTAATCAAACGCCACTGTCCCTGGACATGGCTGGGAGTACAGACGGGCACAGGACCTCTTTGTGAGACTGGGGCTCCCGTCCCCCACACCAGGGCAAGGGTGACTGAGCACCAACCCACCGCTGCTGGGGGTCTGGAAGGGGTGAACATGGGCAGGGGCCTCCTCTCTTGATTGCAGAGGGTGCAGGCACAGGGCCTCACCATTTTCTACACAACCTGGGCATCCTGCCCTCTGGGTATAGAAGCAAGCCAAGCCAGGGATGAAACTGTTCCCAGCATCTCCTTAGGAGCCGGGATCCACCCCCAGAGAATTTCTTCCCTCAGACCTAGGGTGTGAGACGCTGCCCAGAACATTCCAAGTGCCACTTTGACTCAGAGGTGATGTGTCTCCACGGGGCATGACATTTTCCTGTAAACCAGATGACTTCCAGCTCTTCCTAGCTCCTGTTTCTCTTTCTCTCTCTCTTAAAATTAATTGTTTGGTTATCATACAAAGAAATGGGATTCACTGTGACATTTTCTCATATATATATATATATATATATGTATATATGTATATGTATAAGTATATATACATGGTATATATACTTATAAGTATATATACATGTATAAGTATATATACATGTATATAAGTATATATACATGGTATATAACTGCTCTTGCACGTTCCCGCTTTCCTGTCCCCTCTGTGAATCCCCTTCCTCCTCAATAGCCTGTGGTGATATTGTGTTCCCCAAAATATTGTGTACCTTAATAAACTTATTTGGGGTCAGAGAACAGAAAAACCACTAGTTAGGCAGTGATAGCACACGCCTTTAATCCTAGCATTCCAGAGGCAGAAATCCATCTGTTCAAGGATACAGACAGGCATGGTGACTCATCACACCTTTAATCCCAGAAAGTGAGCCTTTAATCCCAGGGAGTGGTGGTAGAAAGCAGAAAGGTATGTAAGGCGTGAGGACCAGGAACTAGAAGCATTTGGCTGGTTAAGCTTCAGGCTTTTGAGCAGCACAGTTCAGCTGAGATTCATTCTGGATGAGGACTCAGAGGCTTTCCTCAGGTTGGCCTGAGGAAACAAGACCAGCTGAGAAGTTGACCAGGTGAGATAGCTGTGGTTTGTTCTGTCTCTCTGATCTACCAGCATTCAGCCCAATAACTCGCCTCAGGTTTGATTTTATTAATAAGAACTTTGAAGATTCCTGCTACAATAGCCCCTTCTCCTTTCATGACATGTAAATCCATTTAACCCCTCTTGCCCATCTCTTTAGGCCTTTTCCTCTCTTTTAGTCCTACTTTCATGTTCTGCGCACACACACACACACACACACACACACACACACACACACACACACACCTAGGTTTTCCATATGAGGAAAAGTACACATTATCTGTCTTTCTGAATGGTTTATTTGCTGAACTTAATTATCTCCAGTTCTATCCATCTTCCTGCACATGTCATCATTTCTTCCTTTACTGAATAGAAATCCATTGTATTTATGTTCCATGTTTTCTTTATCCATTCATCTGCTGGTGCATATCTCAGCTGGCTCCATATCTCAGTTGACAATGAACATGGGTGGGTGGGAATGCTGACCTAGAACCCTTCCGGTTATCCAGGAGTGGTGTAACTGGGCCAAATGATAGTTCTGGTTCTATTTTTTTTTTTTAGGAGGACATCCATACTGGTTCCCACAGCGATTACACCAGTTTGCATTCCTGTTAGTGATGTACAATGGTCCCTCTTAGTAGAGTATGGTGGCTTGTGCCTCGGGAGACTAAGGCAGGAGGATTTCTATGAGTTTTAGGCCAGCTTAGTCTACAGAATTAGACTGTGTCTCAAACAATCAAAGGAACAAAAACAAATAAAAACTGTGTGTGACTAAGGAGGCAGAGGCAGGTGGATCTCTGTGAGTTCAAGGCTAGCCTGGTCTACAGAGCGAGTTCCGGAACAGCCAGGGCTACACAGAGAAACCCTATCTTCAAAACCAAAGAAACAAAAAACAAAAGAAAACTGGGGAGGTGGTGGTGGTGGTGGTGGT